GCTATTGATAAAAAGGGTGTTGCTTGACTTTTTGGTCACTAGCAGTCAAGTTTTTGTTTGAAGAGGAGTAATAACAAGAGAAAGAGGGTATAGGAATGACTCTTGAAGTTTTCTTCAAGTTGATTTAAAGAAAGTGGTAAGACCATATTAACAAAAAAGTCTAAAACTTTTTGCGAATATCTTTTTTGTATGTGATTAGAAGATCAGTAGAAAGAGTTTGATTATATAATGCAATTTTATATATATACATATATTTTAATTAGTTATATAGACTGGACTTTATTGATCAGATGTTTAGGAGTTTATACAGTTTATTTTATAAGAACAATTCTTATAGCTAACCTATATTATTCTAATTTATTCAATTTACCCTTAGATTTTATCTGATAGAAATACTATCCTATTAGCTGTTCTGCTATATTCAGGCACTATTGCTGTTCTGGGAATTTACTATAGAACTTCTTATTTTATTAAGAGAGCTATTTCAGAATATATTTGCTTTGTATAATGTCTGTCTCTCATATACAGATCTATTTCTTAATTGACATCTTTATACTATATTCTGTTCTTAGAGACTAGTTATTCATTGATATCTTTACTATCCATGTGGTCCCAAGTTAGTCTCTTGGTGACCATTGGTGAGCCAGATTGATGACTGAAGTCCTCCAGTAACCATTCTTAACCCTCTTCAAATATGACTTTTATCTTATTATAATTGTTCATCACTTCTTATTGGTTACTCGCAAGATCTCTCTCTGGTAGCTATTGGTGATTAACAATCTAACCCTTTACTTTTTGCAACTGGTATATATGATCAAAGTCTTCCAGTCTTTTATAAGACAAGAATTTTTTGAGAAGAAATAGATTCCACATAATATTAATAGGATTGTGAGCTGATTATTATCTTTCCTAATATTTCTTGATATTTTCACATATTCTAGATGATGAGATATTGAGGTTTCTTATCGTAATACTAAAACTGACCAGGACCTGTATAACCTAATTTTATAACATTATAGTTAGATGGTGAAATTTGATAGGTCATTGTGCATAGGAGTATATGTGATTGATTAGTATGCATTTTATACAATATAACTTATATTGCAAAAATTGTTCTAAAATAGAATTGAATCAGTAACTCGCAGATAGTAATCTGAGAGTATATCCACTATATTATTAACTTGCAGGTTGTATAATTCTATATTTTTAAATATTATTCTCTTTTATTATACTGTAAGTTTCAATTTATTCTTTTTGTAATTTTTTGTATTTCAATGATTTAAAAAATATACATATAATAATAATAATTTGCTAGTAACAATATATAGACTAGAAGAATCTTTATTCAAAGTCTATTACAGAGCAAAATATTGTTTTCAAAGTCAAACTTAAAAGCTATTATTGCTTGTGATATGTTATTTAAATTTGATTAGAAAAGTTTAACTGAAATATATATCATATTGTTCAAATAATAATATAATATATTTATATTTTTAATTGATTAATAAGCTATAATCTAGATTACAGTGATGACTTGTAAGCAATAAACTTGATAGCTAAATGATAATTCAAGTTATTAAGAGAGTAAAATATCATCTCCTAAGTTGTATCTAAAGAAGTTAAACTTCTAAGATAAGTGAGCTGTTACGTGAAAATCTTTTAAATTGTATAATATTTTTAAAATTCACAATAAATTTTTATTTTTATATTTTAATATTTCTATTTAATATTTAAAAATAAATCAATTTTCAAATTTATCAATTAAAATAATTCTATTATCAATATAATTATTCAAATATAATATATGGAACATTTATTTTAAAAACAAAATGTTAACTTGACTTTATTATTGCAACAATAATTTATAAATCTCAGTTATTTTTGAAATAGTATTTAAAAACTCAATATAAGGACAATTATTTTTGTGTTATGCAAATTTTAGGATCACAATTATGGACGCCAATACAGTATGTACTGTAAATACAGTAAAACATTTTTTATTTCAAAGTTTGATATTAAAATAGTTATAATATGGCCTTGTCATTCTGCAATATTGGATTTATTTATGATATACACAGTAAATTTGCCTAATAATATTAATAATATTTAAATATAAGTTTATTAGATATCATTGGTGACAAATTATCTTAATTGCATAAGATTTAAATAATCGCTGCCTAAGCTTAACCCCAAAATTAAAAATGAATGAGACGGGAGTGTTAGAAGTTTACTTGAATAAAGTCAATTTTAATAAAGAAAGAGCGAAAAAAGGATACTAACGCAACCAAATGATATTATCAATTAATTGTTGGATTTTGGCAATAAAATAATAATAATAATAATAATAAAACCAAACGGAATGCCTAGTTGATCTATCTACTTATTACAAGATGAGATTAACAATGCCGTTTCCAGAAGACTTGGATTCATGTTGCCATTATGGTGTCTCTATGATGCCAGAAAAAAAATATTCACTGCAAAGAAAAACAGAAAAAATTAGGCTACATTAGTATATATAAAATAAAATTTTATGGTTAGTTTATTCGAAGAGATTCCGAATTAATAATGACCGTGATGATGGATACCTCTTTTAAATAAAAGATTTCTCAATTAGTCCAAATAGTATTCGAGGTGATGAAACCACGAGGCTTTTACAAGTTACGAAAGCGGCTAACACCAAAATCCAAATCGTGGATCTTCCATGGTACGCACGTGCTTACCAAAATATTGGGGAAAGATAAATTTTCCCGAAAATTTAAATGGGATAAGGATTATCTTGCTCGAGTAAAATTATTACCAAACTTAACCGAATAAAGTTATCAATTAATACCATCCATATGTGGATAATGCGGAACTCGGAATGATCACGTCCTTTACATGGCCAACCGATAATTGAGATCTATTAACGTAAGAATCATTGAGAAGATAAATTGACTATCGCATATTTGAAAGAAAATCGAAGGCGACAAACTGCAGTATATTACGAATTAAAGGCGAGAAACATCGTGGGTCACGTGATACCTCGAACTGATTTCTGAACACGCAAAGCTAAGCTTGACAATAATTAGAAGGCTATGTCGCAAGAAACTGAGACCTAATGTTATGAAGTGAAAAACTTTTTATGTTTAGCATTAAACATCAAATCTACTTGGAATTTTATATGGAAACAAAAAAAAAAAAAAATACCTTCTTTTGGAATGCGACAATCCGAGTAATAAAAGAAGTTCAAGAGTTTTCTAATGACATTTCTTTGAAATTTAATTTACTAGAGACGAGCTTAGAAATTAAAAATAAATTGAACTTTTATTTAACACAAACTCCCCTACTTATTTATCGCCTATTGTAAGATATCACATGTCCAAGATCAACAAATGAACAATAAAAATATACGTAGTTACTGTAACTACTCTTATTATTACTTGGAAAAAGTAGTCTCAACGCTAAATGCATGGCAAGTAAAAAAAAAAAAAACAAAAGAAGACAATGTAAATATAGTTGAAACTACAGTAAATTAATTTAACTCCACAGGTGCAGAGGATTTTCCTTTCCCTGGTAGAGGATGAAACCGGAGACGGCAATGCGCGTCTTTGAACTTTCAGTTATAGCATGAAGGCAACGTGAATGGAAAATGACAAGTTCGCCTACTTCAGGGTGAATCGTTACGGCAGGGGGTGGGAGCAAGGATCTGTCTATTCCATAATGATCACCACTTAATTTTTTGTACACTTCGTCATCCAAACTCAAATTCCATATTTGCAAAGCTCCTCCTATGTCAGGAGTCGAAAGATAGCAATTAAAAGCCGCCTGGGTTACATAATTTACGGTTGAAAATGCTTTTCTATCATCTCTTTCCAATTTATCTTCATGAGGAAAAACATTTTCCTTCAATGCACGTGCTAATCCAATGAACATCTTGCCCTCACCCACGTTTAATCGTGAAGCACCTTTATTCCATTGCTCATCCAGCATGAGGCGCATTTTGTCAATAGGAGATAGGAAAGGGTAAAATGCTTGACGGAGAGTGGTAATTGAAGGTAATACTTGATCATAGTAAAATTTTTTAGATGACTCGTTATTAACTTCATAGTACGCCATACCGAAATTCTTAACTTTTCCAACACCCACGGTGTTGGAATAATCTATAATTTCATGTTTTCTCATATTCTCCAGAGCTTGCGCCACAGCGCCTCCAGTACAAAAACCGGGAACGCGCAAGACAAAAATCTTTCCGTCAAAAAAGTCAGAAAGGTATTGTGCATCTAAATCATTGACTTTAACTACTTCTGCCTTAGGGAAATGGTTTTTGAAATTTGTGCTTAATACCGCAAAACTGCGTTTAAATCGTGACTTAAAAAACGTTGAAGCCAACAATTTGCTCATTTTGTTAATATTTTGGTTTTGATGGATTATTTATTAATCAGTTTAAATATAAATTTCACGCGTACAATATTATTAACCAGCTTAAATATAAATTTCACGCGTACAATATATTCATTGATTATCGCCTTTTGGAAGTCGGTTTATCTTATTTTTTACATTTTTGTAAGATGGAGCTGTTTTGCAAATAATTCGCCTTCATTGTCTTATTATTTGCTTTTTTGTAAATCGAGGCTTTAGAAAACAGTTTGTCCTCCTTCAACAGGTCTTATCGGGATACCGACCGTACATCTACCGGATAAAAAATAAATCCTTTTTAAATTATTGCCATTTATTCCCCTTATGTATAGTACACGTCATTACTATAACATGATCAAACGGTTTTTTCCTTTAAAAATGCTTTTGTTTCATAAACACACAAAACCAAATTTTTCTGTGCTAAAGAGAAAAATTGTCAAGATGACAAGTCTTGTTGATTCAACTGAACGTATTTACTACCGTGACACCTACCTAGACAAGCTGGAAGCAAAGATTGTCGGAGTGGGAAAGGACGAAGAAGGCGATTATGTCATCTTTGATAAAACTATTTTTCATCCGCAAGGAGGTGGCCAACCTGATGACCAAGGATATATTGAACTGAAGGGCAGGCAATTTGCCATCAAGAAACTATGGGCCTCACGAAATCCCGATGAGCAACCTTACTTGGTGAAGCATTATTACGAAAAGGATGCCGTATTTAACATGGAGGAGCAAGTCAACGAAACAGCCTTACAAACAATCAACATGGAAGCTCGCAAACTTTTCGCTCGTTATCATTCTGCTGGGCATTTGTTGTCGAACGCGGTCAACAAATTGTATCCTGGTATTGACGGTTGCAATGGAAATCATTTTCCAAAGACAGCTTTTGTAATTTTCGAAGGGAGTCCCTTGCCTAATCTTCAAGAGTTGAAGCAGAAACTAGGCGAACAGGTTAATGAATTGGTAAAAAGCAGTCTTCCAGTTAAGATTGATTGGAATTCTAAACCTAGAACTATTCAATTTGGCGACTTCAAATCGTATCCTTGTGGAGGCACACATGTTGCCAATACTTTGGAGATTGGAGAGATTACAATTCGTAATGTTAAAAAGGATAAAGGCAGATTGAGAGTTGGTTATGACATTAATGAATAGTATTCAAAACATAGTGTTCAACATGCCAAAAATCTTTTTTTTTTTTTTTTTACAGTAATTAGTCTAGTCTGATTAATTTCTGCGTGTATCCGCAATCCCAACTAAAGGCATCTGTCATCATACTATACAATAAAATTATCTTACAATACCAGTTTTTCTGAGTCCATGTCGCATAATGATCTCATTTCTCAAATTGAATGTGTTGGCGAGAATGTAAATGCACTGCATCCTCTAACTCACTGGTTGAGTCACCTCTTCTAATGTTGAATCGTCAATTTTATAGAGTTTGGATCAGTTGGTCAGTGTTAAGTGCAAGACCTTTTCACACACGAGTCTTTGGAGGATGGTAGAAAATTGACGTTAGCGCGATAAACATCTTAGATACGGTAAATCGCCTAAGAGATAAGGTAATGAAGTTTTACCAATTAATTTCTTTTGTGAATCTATTTCTGGATTAATATTATTCTTCACAAAAACAACATTTCTTAAAGAATGATCACAGTGTTGCTGGTTTAATTATTATTAGCAGGCAAGACCTTTAAAAAATTTTTTTTTTCGTTTTATTAAAATTCAAAAAAAAAAGCTTTAATTATACAGACAGTAGATATCATTCTTACTTCCTTTAATAGAAAAATTTTGGAAATTTTTATTTTTTATTAATGACAAACAATTAAATTCATTCACTTTTTGAAAAAAAATTTATAAACTTCAATTTTTTTTAAAAAAAAATTACACTATATGTTTTACTGTAGTTAATTAAAAATAAAATTTTCAAATAATAAAAGTAAAACCAATGTTTATATTTACATTTTCAAAAAAAAAAAAGAAGCTTAATAGATTATTAAAGAAAGTTGATGGTTTTAAATTTTATAAAAAAAAAATTTGATAACAAATTCTTTTTCAAACTTATGATACTTTTTAATAATCAAAGGATATTAAAAATTTAAAAAATTTTTTTTTTTTTAATAATTGATTTTTTTTAAACTCAAAATTATACTATTATGGTATATTTTTATTGAAATATTAAAAAACCATCTATAATATTACATTAACTTTTATATAATAACTAACTTTTTTTTTTTTTTTGAGTACTCATAGCCAGACTAGATTGTCAATTTATTAATCAATTGAAAACATAAATATATTTCCATTCAAGCAGCATGATACATACCATAGTTAAACTATTATTCTAATTTAACTAAATTGTTATAAATATAAAAGCCTTTAAGTTTGATCTTGGGAACAATATTTTGCTCTATAGTGTCTTTGGATAAAAACCCTTCTAGTCCACTACATTATTGCCAGCAGGTTGTTACAATTGTATGTCTTATCAAGTCACTAAATATAGGAAACTACAAAAGGATAGGTTGAAAAAAGAAAAAGAGAATATCTAAAAATATCTAAATAGATAACAAGAAAATAAAAAGATAAAAATTGAAAAAAAATTTCCAGCTTTCTTCAAAGACCTGCTTCTCAAAATCTCTTTTCAATAAGAAATGCTTGATTGAAATATTCTTTTTTTTTCTAATCATCCGAGAAACTTATCCATTTTTTATCTTGATTTTCTTCTCATATACTATCAGAAGAGACTTATCATCTAGTAGGAATCTTTACTTTTAGAACACACTTGATCCTAACCTTCTTTGGGCAGTAATTTTTTATTTACCTATAGTAGAAAGATAATTTATGATGAACCCCAGATTCTTATATAACCTAGTAAAAATTGAGTCATATTGTTTCAATATAATATCTTTCAGCAATCATGCCTAGTTAAAGAAATTTTACTGGTATACATCTTTCATTATCCAAAAGACCAGATTTTCTAATAATCCTTTTGCCTTATAATGATAGAAGGGTTTTGAAAAGTAATAGGAATTTTCATTAATTATAATATTCTTTAACAACTTCTAGGAAAATGTATTCTTAACTATAACCAAAGAATTGGAATTTAATATAAACTAGAAACAATTCAGTCTTATTGCTTAATTGGGATAAAAATAAGATCTTAGTCTTGAACTTTGCCTGATTAGAATAATAGAAAAAAAAAAACCTTAGCTTAAACAAATAGTAGCTTTTTCATTACCTGAGAACTTGTTGCTTGTATCTTATTGATCTCATGGAATCTAATCTATATATTAATTCAATTGAAAGAGTGAGTAGAACTAGGACACCAATTATATATTTTATTTATCAATGAAGTCATCAGAATACATGAGTATAATCAATAGAAGTGTGTTTATATTTTGTTATTAACATGTTTCATATCAACCAATCAAATATCAGGTAATATTGTGCTATCAGAAATTCAGAGTCAAGCTGAAATAGACAAAATTCTCAAAATTCTCAAGAAAACTATAAAAAACAATAGACACTCTAAAAAGGTACAAGACAATATGTAATAAGATAAATAATAAGTCTTCCCTTACCAACAAAACCTTTATTTTTGTTACTTTCAACTTTGTAAGATGACACTCTACTTGTCAATCCTTTTACTTCCTAGAATATTTTTGCTCTTAATAAAGAAAATATGTATTTGAGTCTTTTCAGGTCATTAGAGACCCAAGTTTTTATTCAAATAAGTTTATAAATAAGTAAGAGAGGATAGTAAAGATAAGTGAAAACAAACTTCAAATTGTTTTAATAAAAGTATAAAGATTTTATTAGCAAGAAAGTATAAAAACTTCTTGTGAACATCTTTTTTGTGTATAGTCAGAGAATTGGCAGAAAGAGTTTTTATAAATTTTTTTAAGTCCAATTAATAGGATAAAATGTTTATTGGATATTCAATAGTACATTTTTAGATTATATGAGTAATTACAAATAATTTTATTTTAACTACCTACCCTTTCCAACTATGCCAATTTTATTATATAGTGGCACCATTTTCATCAGTTACCTTGCTTTGCTTAAACCAATAGCATTCTGAGAATCCACTATTGAATTTCTTATTTTAATCTTCAAGAGACTTATAATGTGTATTCCTTAGTGAGGTCTTGTTTACTACTTGATAATAGTATATATCATTGATGATTCTTACTATATTCAGTCCTTGGAGAGCTAATTAGAACCTTGATTTTTCTAGACATAGTAGTTATATATAGATATCTAGGTAGTTCAATAGTATGCTATATAGGTGATATATAGTCTTCCATTATAATCATTTTTAATTACTCTTCAGATATAACTTACAAAAAATATTTCTTGGTCAAGTGAGACCTTAGGTCTCTTCTAAATATGTTCATCTACTGTGGTTTCTATCATGATACTAAAGCTAATTACTAGCCTATAAATCTAGCTGTTCTTTCTAGTAACTATTGATTTCATGATCCATAGAATCTTTCATTAATTTTTTGTTATGGCTTATTATATTTGCAACTGGTATAAATGACTAAAGTCTCACATATTTTCCATGAAGGTATTTTTCAAGAGAGGTGAATATTTATATTTCCATTGAAAGTTTGAACTAATTAAAGTCTTTCTCAGCTATTTTTGATGTCTTTATATATTTTGAATAGCAATGATCTTTTTGTTTGTTCTAGAATTAAAACTAATCAGGACCTGTATGACTTGAGTTTTATAACATAGTCAGACAGTGGATTTTTATAGGTTGTTTTATGTACAAGTATACATGTGACTAATTAGCATATATCTTGTACAATGTAACCTATATTGTGAAAACTGGTTTTGAGTGAAATTGAACCAATAACTCGTAAATAGTAACCTAGAAGTATACCTACTGCACTATTGATCCACAGGTCATTTTTTTTAATTAAAGATTATAAAATTAATCAAGTATAATTATTTTATATTGATTTTTTAAAGAAATAAATTAATTATAATTTTTGATAACATTTTAAAAATTAAATAAATAAAATACAGTATTAGAACAAACTCTTTCTACTGATCTTTTGACTATATGCAAAAAAGATGTTCGCAAGAAGTTTTTATATTTCTTGGCTAATAAAGTCTTTTTACTTTCCTTAAAACAACTTGAAGCTTGTTTTCAAGAATCCCTATTACCTTTACTCACTTGTTTACAAACTTCTTTAAGCAAAAACTTGAGCCTCTGGTAGCCTAAATAGATTCAAACACATACTTTCTCTATTAAAGACAAGAAGGTTCTAGGAAATAAAAGGACCAACTGTTGGAGTGTTACCTCTTAAAGTTAGATATAACATAGAGATAAAGGTTTTCTAGGTAGAAGAAGACTTATTATCCACTTTCTTACATATTGTCATTTGCTTTCTTAGAGTGTTTATAGTTTTTTATGGTTTTTTTGAAAAATTTTGCCTATCCCAGCTTGACCTTGCATTTCTGGTAGTATAATATTACCTGGCTTCTAATTAGTTGATACAAAATATATTGATAACAAAATGTAAACAAGGTTCCACTGGCCATACTCACATGTTCCAATGACATCATTGGTGAAAAAAAAGAAATCAAGGATATGAACTTTTCCACTTCTCCAAATAAAGTCTAACTGAAGCAAAGAAATCATGAGACCATTAAGATAGGCACTAAATTTTCTAGGTGGTAAAAATGTGATTATTTATTCAAGCCAAGACCTTCAACTTCTTATTATTTCAGTTAGACAATGTATATAAAAGAGGTTATTTCTTATCTCATTAAGCAGTAAGATCAAAAAGTAAAGGAATGTAAAATACTTTCCTTCTCTAGAATTGAGAATGCATTTTCCCAGATGTTGTGTAATAATATTGCAATCAAGATGAACACTAGTAAAATTATTTTACTAGGTATGGCTACTAAAAGATATTAGGAGTCACTCAATAAAACTAAAAAGCTATATAAGAACCTGGGATCTACCATTAATTGTCTTTTTCTGTATGAATAAATACAAAATCAAAATCAAAAGAAAGAAAGTGTTGAGCAAGACACTGAATCTGAGTAGATAATAAATATCTCAAACAATTACAAGAAAATAATTAAGAGCACGAATGAATAAGTTCCTCAAATAGTTAGGAAAAAGAAGAATATCCTAG